GTGTTATCTGGGTTGTATTGTACAGATATCATATTTTTAATTTTATAATGTAATTATTTCTTCTATAATATTGTATACATTGTAAAGGAAATTGCAAGAAAAATAAAAGAAACAATATAATTGTAAACAATTGCATTGTAAAGAAAATCAGTATAAATGTAGTGTAACACATGCGTGTTATATTACATTAGTCTTCTTTATGTCTGTGACGCACGTAAAATGGCAATATCGATTGGATTACGAGAGTTTTAGATATATCGTGTAATTTTACAGATTAGACACAATTTTTTTTTTACGAATTAGCTGATGCGGAGCGATCGCGTTAGATGGCAGCAGCTGCGAAAGGCGCTGCTGCACAGCTGATTCTGATGTACGCAGTATATGGCGCTTCGTGTTGTCGTCAGACCGTCAGACCCAAGCCGTAGGCGGAAAAAGTAGATTAGATATTTCTTCGCCAGACAGAGATATTTTTTAATCGCAATTCCAGATTAATCAGCCGTTCATTACACACTTACCAGCGCAGGGGCTGCTGTCGCGCGACGAAGATGCCTAATCTAACCAATTTATCCCACTTTCCTTTAAAGGTACGTAAACGAAGTGCCGAGCTGCGATCTTTTCTGCTCCGAACGCGTGAGTTTTCATCATTTTCGACGTAATATCGTGTTGTATTTTCCGCAAGCGCACGAGCGAATTGGCGCGCGGCAAGGCATCATTCATTTGCATTTTTTGGTTGGCAGATTTATAAATATATTGTACGACGATGAAAGGCAAAATGGTATCGTTTATATTTCTTTCAGATCATATTTGCAATTCACCTGATACTTGTAACATGGTAAGGACAGCATTGCGCTCTGCCAAAGCGGAGAAAGCTTGCGTAAGAATCTGTGTCTTAACGATCTGTGTCACACGTAAAATATACGTTGCAGGGGTATGCAGGGAGGTTGGTGTCCGAAATCTGTATTGTTGTACAATTTGCTATTCTTTGTTTGTATCTTTTGGGCCGTTCATAGCGTCGAGTCGGACGAACCGCTGCAGTTTGTAAGTAATTAAGGAAGCGTGGGGAGAGAACTTATTGTCTTTTGTTTGGAAACGTGGTTGTATATACATATGTTTTTTTACAGGCGCTTTTCATAAATGTGCTCTCTATATTTCTCGACGTGATCACGTTAGCAGTGTACTATCCGTCGGAATACAACAGTGAGTAATATATTGAATGATATTGCGTATATAGAGGAAAGTCCCCTATTATGAGACAGCAGTTTCTGTTCGATTAACAAGCATCTTCTGTTGGTTCCACCATGAATTTATTGCTCTTGAAGTGAAATCTGTTTAGCGGAAAATTCATAGTTAGATCGTGTAATCGTCGCGAAAACAGATTTGCGATTGAATTTGGACGCAATCTCACATTAGAGGCCCACAGGGGACTTTCCTCTACACGTGTCTTTGACATTCGCAAAAGGAGGAAAGTAAGATATTGCAGATTGTTCATCTGTGCAACAGATTGAGTTTGATCTCGTTAACTTGTAGATGCATCGAATAAGTTTAGCGCAGCCCTCATGATCATAAATCTGATCGTTCGCCCGGTCTCGAGTATATATCTGCTGCGAATAGGCCAGGGGAGGGGCGGCAACCTGGCCACGGTATTCGCGCCGAGTCCTGCCATGGGTCAGTAAAACACTGGCTACACGTCCACGTTTTTGTAGCGCTTCGACGAGATCTGATTTTAAGTATGTGCACGTAGGCTTTACTGCAAAACTACCGTTATTCCGTGCGTTAGTAATAATCGACGATTCTCAGTTATCTGTTTCTCTGTACTTCGTACTCTGTACGTTTATTTGATTGCCAAGCTGCTTCTCGCCTGCATTTATGTCGCATGCCGAGCGTAATGTGTCACAGCAACAGTTCCCGCTTTTCTGTGATTACGCAAAATTAGACCGTACGTTATTTCGTTTCTTTACATTACTTACAGGTTACGGCAGACAAGACTACGAGGAGATTTCTCATCCCGTCCCGCAGAACTCCGATTTCGAAGGGGTTTAAGGTTGCTCGAGAAAGCAGCTTTAAATTCGCGCAATACACACATCTTTGTGACATAACAATATTTTTAGATCGTAACTTCGTAAGACTACTAATGCTATATTAGCATTAATGAATAACTGTTTAAATTATGTAGGTTGCCTTGCATACTATTTCGTATCGCTAAGTCAAAAATCAAAGATCATATATTTCTATTTATTGACGTTAATTATATATATATTTTTTGGTTGAATTTTGTGTAATATGTTAAAATACGTATACAATATTTGTACATTTTGTTTAGTGACGTATAATAGCAACATGACAGAGGCATAAGTTACTTTAATTAACTGATAATAATGTTTACGAATCGTATTACTTGTCTAGCGAATTAATATCGAGTACAACGATTTAAATCTCGTGTATCATAAATTTCTACTCAGGCCGTTGTCTGTACGTACCTAATATTTTAATACGCTCAGAATCTATTCTGTACAACTGTTTCTACCATTGACTGGTGAATAAAATATTTTAATGCAAACGCAATCGTCCCGAGAGAGCGATCGCGAGCGAGCGAATGTCCGTGACGAGAATCGCATTCCTCGAGGCACCCGTTTAGAGCACGTTACTTCTAAAAGCAGAGGGAAAAAGGCGGCCCACATAACTTTCTTCGCTAAATCACTCAAAACCGACCGGCGTATATTTTTGTTCGCGGCGCGTGATGGCTCAGACCGGACGCGACGAGCGACGCGCGATTATCCAATGAGCGTACAGGTTTTGTGGGAAAGCGTACAGTTTTCCTATAAAGACTGCGCGCCCATTGGATATCGCGCGTCGCCCGTCGCTCATCGCGTTCAGTCCGAATGAGCCACGAGACGTTGACGTCGGGCTCGGCGCGATTCGAAAGTGGCGCGCTCGCGCCGGTGCCGCGGCGGCGGGCCGCCGGTGGCGCCAGCGGCGCGGGTATAAGAGCCGCGTCCGTGAAGCGGCGCACTTCAGTAGTGTGGGTGATCGTAGCGAGAGGAGGGTGGCTCCGCGCGCGGCCGCACCGCGAAACCGTGCCCACTTGCCTTGGCCACGGTAGGTCCACTCGGTTTCACGTCTCGTGCGGAAACATGGCGGCCAGTGACGACGAGCCGATGCATCTCTACGAGGTCTTTCAGAACTGTTTCAATAAGATCGCCAACAAGCAGTCCGGTGAGTGCGCCGTCGGCAGTGGCCATGTCTCTCCCCGCGCTACGGGATACCTCGCGCTGTGCGCGTTCCGTGCGGAGGGTAAGAGCGACGGACGTCTCTCCCCGCGTCTCCGTCTCCTCCGGTGTTTCTGGTGTGCCTGGCCCGGGTGTTCGGCGGTGCGTATTCGCCGACCCGTCGGCGTCCTCGAGCCGGTCGATCGAGCCCGCGGTCGCGCCGAGGTTCTCGGCGGCGTCGGGACGATCGGCGTGCCGTTGACGGCCGACAGGGCCGCCTCTCCGCTCGCTCTCCCTGTGTTTTGGTTCGCTTGTCAGTGCCCTGGACAGTGCTGCCCCGTCGACGGCAACTAGCGGCGGGAGCGACGGCTCTCCGCCTCGTGTTCCCCGCGTTCTGCTTACCCTCTTGCCGACGCCACGGATTTTCCCTTCCGTCGGCGCGGCCTCCTCGCCCCTGCGTGCGTCGCGTCGCCGCGCCGGGACACGAATGACATAACCTAGACGCGTCCAGAGAGACGTCCGCTGCTGTCATGTGTGCAACAGTGTGTGCGTGCGTGTGCGTACGTGCGTGCGCGCGAAGTGTGTTCGTACGAATTGCGAGGGTGAGCGCCGATAGCGCGGCTTCCGGGAGAGAGGACGATCGCGACGTCGCGACGCTCCGTGTACGCTCGCGTTCCGCTCGCACCACGTGCCGGGACGCCGCCGCGATTGTACGAATCGTTAGTGGTTAATCGCTCGGACGTAATGCGAGAGTCCATAAATCGAAGCCTTTTTCCTCCTTTCTCGTGCCTCTCGTCTTCTCTTTTCCTTCCTCTCTCTCTCTCTCTCTCTCCCCCTCTCTCGTTCTTCCTCTCGCTCCCCCGGCAGTCAGCCTCCGCGCGCGCGAACGTCGTTTTTCTTTTATTTCTCGCTTCATACACCTGCCAGAGGAGCAGCCACGGAGCGATGCGCCGTTGCGTGCCGCGGAATCGTGCGTTACCTCTCGAAAGCGGTTCTCATCCTCCGCGGATCCTCGACTGTCGCGGCACGTGTCAAAATTCGACGCCTCCCCCCCCCCTCCTAGTTTTTAAATGCCTGATACTTAACGGATGTTGCGTCGACTGTTTCAATGGTAGATTCCTTGAATATCTGTCGTTTGATCACCTCCACCTGTTCTTCATCGAACGAGCACTCGACAAAAGAGGCTCCGAGCGCTACAAGTGATGCTGGAGTATTGCATTTATTTATCTCGGGGGGGGGGGGAAACGTGTATGGCAAATACCGATAAGATCTTTATCTCCGTTTCGCAATTAAATGTCGTAATTGAAGCGCATTAAAAACTGTAATACTTGCTTATGTCGGGCCTGTAGCCTGTGCTTTCTCCTGTTTTTCAATCGGTACAATTATCCCGCATTTGCTCCTAGTTAGACGACGTTACAGCGCTTTTTGAAACCGCGAGATTCCCACGTTAATTATCGCCGGGCGCACAAAGCGATTGCGAAATTACGATTCCGGCGAGATGCGATCCGCGGCGCAGTCGGTACACCGAGACTCAAACGTTTGTTTGGCTCGAGACGTTGTTCGGAGGGCGCCCGTGGCCCTTTACCGTGGGCTAAGTTCGGCGCGGCCGCGAGCTCGGAAAGAGCGCAAAAACCACGTTTTAGAACGTCCGAGGCGTTCCCGTGTATGTTCCCTCGAAACCGCCGCGGCGGCTCCGCGCCGGCCATTCGGTATAAATATAATTTACACCGCGGCACTGCGTTTGCCATGAAACTTTCTAGGGCGGCAAACGAGACGGCGCGGCAGGAATAGGGCCCCCCCCCCAGCGTTTACGTTAAGGTCGTTCTACATTAAGTTGCAAGCAATCGCACGTCCATATTGTCGCAAGAAATTTGCGATTCGAACTTCTACATTGCAGTCGTAAAGTCACAGCCAATCAACGAAGAGAATGTTGCGACCTCCACGAAGGTTGATCACGGCTCATCCACATCTTCGTATGGAACACTTACGTCCAAAGAATCATCATCCCAGTCTATATGACTCATTTTATTAATATAAAATTTTCTAACCGATCGAGAAACACGAGAAACCAACGAGCTACCGACCAAGCCAAAGAGACACCATGACAGTGAGGCTCGATGTTGATTGGATGTCGCAAATCGCAGAGACGCAAATTTTGGATTTGGTCAAACCTTGCGGCTGGCGTTTGCGACTGCATTACGATCGGAAGTAGCGCTGCTTGCGATTGGTTACTTGCGACTAATGTAGAACGACCTTTAGCCGTCCAGCTTGGCGATCCTTCGCGCGCCGGTTTACAAAACAACGTTCCGCGTAATTTTACGAGACGCACGAAACAGCTCGCGCGCCGAGCTACATTTCGCTATACGTGCCGCAAATTATATTCCGAATGTTAACGTTGAATTGATTACGAGACACTCGATATCTCGCGCGGGACATTCGATATCGAGCGCCGTCGCGTCGTAAGTATTTTAACGGCCGAGGATTAAACATCTCCCGCCCGGTTCTCCTCGGCGAGCGCAAGAACCGTTGCGGCAGAATCGACGGGGGTTTCGTTATTTACGCTCGAATGTTTCTACCGGGTGTCGGATTCGCCGAGTCTCGTTTCTCATAATTTGATAAATATGAGACAGTTGACTTGTCGTCGGTTTCGTTTCGGCCCGTTAATCTCGACGATTGTCGTTTCGCGTCCGAGGAGACCTTCGTCGCGGATCTTACTGCGCCGCGGCCGGTTTATTAAGGCTCGTATTACTTTGCGTACCATACTTAACGAGCCGTATTACGACGGTCGCGAGCCGTCAATTTACGGGCCGTACGCTATTTTGCAAACAGTCCCGTATTGAATTTCGGTCTAATCGCGGGAGCGTAGATGTCGAGGATAACCAGCCGAGGAACCGACAATTGTTTGATCTTATTGTTTAATCACATTGGCATGGAATAATTGATTCAATAGAAAACGAAGGAAATTTATCGGGCTAGGAGTCCTGTCGCGGTAGTAAAGGCCTAGTGTCCGCGATGCTAGAACTTGGTCCAAGAATTTGAGGGGAAGTTCAACGAAGGACAGAAACAAAGGGAATATGTAGAACTGAAGTCCAAGACGGGGGATGTTAGCGTCTAAATAATTTATTTTAAATTCATTGGGAAAAACGTTACTTCAGCCAGGGTTTGAACCTGGACCTCCTTAAGGCCTGTGTCCCCGATGTTAGAACAAGCTCTTTTCACTTCCCGCGATGTCCTGCAGTCGAGGATCGTCACTGGGTTTCAAGTGCAAGGGTATCCGAAAATAGCGTCCCTCCTACTTATCGACGATACTTCCGGTGTATGAGAATATACTTCCGAATTTTCATTCCTGTCAATTCGCGAGGAGATTCACCGAGGTTGAACTTCTCTCCCGTTGCGCATAATAGGCCGATCGGCTGAAATTTTATCAGACACGCAAACGCAACATAGTAACGTATAAAACGGAGATAAAAGGCAGTCGGAGAGAGATAAGCGCTCCATTGTCCGTCCGCGTTTCATAATCCGCCGGCAAAACGGTCGGCTTCGGGAACGATTTCGCGCTGCGTCTCGCCGCGGCGCGGCGACGACGACGTAGATGCAATCCCGGAGCGACCCATCGGCGAAGATAAACGTTCGCGCCGGCGCGGCGCGAGAAAATAATCTGATTTGAAATTACGCGTAATGCGCGGGGGAAAAGGGGGAGGTGGGAACGCACACGCGGTGCCGAAACCTAACGGGTCTAAAATTAGTCGCGCACGGTATGACTCACGAGTAAATCTACCTGGGGCACCAGTTTGTTTCAGGAAGTAGCGAGCCCGATAAAATATAGTTTAACAAACACGCGTGCGTGATTCACGTACGGCGCGAACGTTCACGCGTCGAGTGTTCGAGATGTCGTCGCTCTACTTGGCGCTGCCGCTTCGCCGCGCGGTTCGCGATATCGCTTAATACTCGTCGGGACTTATCCCTTTCATTTCGGGTGAAGACGTATCATTTGTGCCCTCGTGCCCTTCTGGTCGGCGCGCAATTTCCGGCCCGGAATAAGGTTGAGAGGGATATTTCGGACAAGGGCCGAGGCCCAAGTATCCCAGTAACGCCGTTTTCGCGACTCTCCCTCGATCGCGAGATATCCGCGAAGGTTTGCCAATGCCCGGCATTCCGGCTGGGGTCCGGCAAACCCCGCGCCGGCGCCATTTTCGAAACTCTCCTTCCTCGGAGCGAGAGTTTAACCGAACGACCATAAACGAGCCCCAGACACAACACTCGTGACTTAGGTCCTTCTCTCTTTTTCTTTCTCCGGCTTCTGCCAGTCTCTCTTCCTCCTCTCCCTCCTTCTCTCTCTCTCTCTCTTCCCCTCCC